AATTACCTCCCCCCCAAACCAAACCAAAAAAAGAGAAAAGGATCAAATTAAAATTCTAGTATTAAAAAATTAAGATAACTGAAATTAAGAATTCAGTAGAATCCTTTAATAGCAGATCAAACAGAGAAAAATAGAGTAGAAGTGAGTGATGAGCAAATAGAAAATACCCAGATTAGGCCCAGAGAGATAAAAGAATAGAAAATGCAGAAAAGCATGTAAGAGACATATGGAAGGTGATGGAGACATCTAATACATGCCTAATTTTGGTCCCAGATAAAGAAGAAAAATTGGAATAAAAGCAATTTTTAAAAAGATAGCATCTGAGACTTTTTCAAAAAGACATCAAATTGCGTATTCAAGAAGTTATACGAACCCCAAGCAGAACTGCACCTCAAGACATTATTTTAAAACAGTTGGAAGACCAAAAGGAGATAAAAAAATTTAAAGCAACCAGAGGGGGAGAAATTCATTACCTTCAAAGGATTATGAAGATTACAGATAACTTTTCAACCAAAATTGTGAAAGTCAGAGATTCTGGAATGACATCTCCACAGCACTGAAACAAAACATCTGCCTACTTAGAATCCTACATCCCGTGAAATTATCTCTCAAGAGTGAAGGCAAAACAAAGGTGCTTCACTGAATCAGTCTGGTTTCTTGACCGGGAAAACAGAGGCGCTGCAAGCAGTTTTTGTAATAAAGGGTTTTATTACAGGAGCTGGGGCTTCTGTGAGTGTGGATGGATTGGGGGGATATGACGGCTGGAAGGCTGCAGCTGGAGGAACAGAGAAAGTCGCCAACCACTTTAGCCTGAATTACGGGAGTGGCCAGGATAGCAAACAAACATTGAAAGCAAAACAAAATAAGAAAAGCTAACAAGGACTTCTGAAAAACAAAGCTGGAGGATTTGACTTAATATCAAGACTTATTATAAATCTGCAATAATTAAGACAGTGTAGTATTGACAAAGAAAAACAGATAGTTCAACAGAGTAGTAAACAAAGATTCTAGGAAAGACCCTTTTTATACATGGATGACTTTAAAGCTCTCAGCTCTGCTCCTGGCTAGAATGAAGGGAATAGAACATCTATGCCCATTTTCATGGGTTCCCTGAGACTCATGGGACCTTGAGGTGGGTGACAGACACCAGTGGCCTCAATGACATTTTCCCCATGGCGTCCTGTGTATCTGTGTAGGCTGTACCTGGCTAGTGGCTTAGTCCCAACATCCAAAGCCTACTTGCTGGCAACTCAGGGACAAAATAAGTGTACCTGGGACTTTCTGACATAACAGAGATGGCTCAAGACCCACCAGAGGCAACAGCATGAGATCTTTGAAAATGAATACATTTTAGGGAGATGTTGACTTACTTTGAAAATAGTCAGCCTCTTCCAGATGGTTAAAAGTTCGAGCTGGAGTATAAATACATATGGAATCTCCACTGGGGGATAAACTGACTGAATTCACAGATGATTGAAAGTGGCAGCTTAAGAGGGGAGGGAAGAAGCAACAGTGAATGATCACTAACAGCGATGTTTTCTAGAGAAACCCACGGGGCTCTCACCCACGTGTGTCTCCACAGGCACTCCCTCTGAGCGCCCCAGTGACACAGCGAATGTCCCTGCACCAAGAGTGCTCTCCCCTCCAGATGAAGTCTTTCACGCCCAGCCAAAGTCCCTAAGACTCACCATCCACACATTTGGGTTTCAAAGATGTGCAACCTACATGGTTTCACTGGGAGGGGTCACATCTGACACCTGGGCCTGGTGGCCACTTGGGAGATTAGGACATTCCCCAGAGCTGAGCTGTGTTCTGTGGGAGTAAAGGGCAGCCTTGATGGCTGGGGCAGCCAAAAGAACAGCGTGGGAATAAAAGAAATATTCATTGAGCACCTACTGTATACCAGGCTCTCAATGTGTCACACTCATAGCCTCATTGGGTGTTCACCATTCTGTAAATTGGGTTTCGTATTTTCCATTTTGCAAAAGAGATTGAGGCACAAAGGAGTCAAGTAACATGTCCAAGTTTGTCCGACCAGCGGGAGGGGACAAGAATTCACTAGCGTCCAGAAGTTTGTTTCAACTTGTGTCTCAAGGAGAGGAGAAAGGAGAAAAGGAAGGGAAAATGTGCTGCAGGTGCAGCTTGAAAGGGAGTGGGTTCCCTCCCACTAAACCCTCACACAGAACGTGCTGTGCCCCTGTACCATGTCCTTCACCCCACTCTCTCCATCCTCACCTCTGAGTCTGCCTCAAAATTCCCCCACACAATTATTTAGTAAAGGGGTTTGGCTGGTTATTTGAGGCCATTCTCTGACTCAGAGGATGGTTATCAACAGATAAATGGGCATGTCTGTCCTCCACCCATGCTTCTGAGTCTTTCTTCCCCAGGTGCTCCAGCTCCTGGTGTTTCTCCCATCTCTTCCCTCCTTGGACCTAGAAGGTCAGGTCCTCGCTGTGTAGGAGCCAAGGAGATGAGGTTGGGTGGCTTTTGAGCTGTGCTTCTGAGAGGAGGTGTGACCTAGAGGTTAAGCACAAGAGCTACGGAGTCGAACAGCCCAGTTCAAATCCAGGCTCTGCCACGGACTAGCACACCGTGCCTCAGTTTCCCCACCTGTAAGATGGAGACACGGCAGAACTGCTGCACATGATTTTGGGGAGAACTAAGCTTGTTGATATCCAGCAACTGTCTATAATGGTGTCTAGTGTATAGTAGGCGCACAGCTAACATTAGGCATGTCTCTCCCTCAGAATCAGTGTTATTTCTCAAAAAGGCACTGGCCCCAGAGAGGGAGACTGAAGGGTTGGTCGCTGATTCTGTGATCGCCATGCCTGGGCCAGACCAGAGAGTGAATGACCATCTCTGGACCAGAAGAGATGGCCAGGTTCCCCTTGCAGTCTCTCTTCGAAGAAGGGTGAAAGGAAACTCATTATAGCCTTCAGCTTAAATCCAGCCAGTGCTCTGCTTGGTCACCATCCAGGGCCCGGCTGCCCCGCGCCTGCATCGCAGGGGCACTTTCCTGCGCATGCTCTTGTCCACAGAGGACCCGTCCTTGCTGATTTCTCTCTCTAGTGTGTAATTCATTCACTTGTTTTGTTTACTGGGTGTTACCCCCAGTAGACTATAAGCCCCATGAGGGCAGGAATTATTGTCTGCTTTGTTCACGGCTCTAGTCCCAGTGTCCGACAGTGCCCGGCACATAGTGGGTCTTCAGTAAACCTGTTCTGAAGCACTGAATGTGTGCCTCCCAATAGCCCTGCACATAGCCCACATAAAAGCCGCCCACATACTTTAATATAAGTACTTGTTCAATGTCCATCTCCCCTGCAAGTCTGGGAGCCCCAGGAGGTTGGGATCTTGTCTGTCAGCTTCCCTACTCCACTCTCAGAATCTTCCAGAATGCCTGACCCAGTGTAAGATGTTCTACTCAGGAACCTCTTCCTTTGATATCTCTGACCTGCATGTTCTTAGGAAAACCAGTCACTTCTTTGTGCAGAAATCAGTCCCGCTGCTGGAGAGGAGTTTGGCAGCTCTTCAAGCGTTTGAATACAGCTCGTCCTCAGGTTTTAGTTCAAAGCGACAGAAGGCTTTGTGCCTGGCAGGTGGCCCAGGCCATGGGGCGGGCTCCTGGGAATTTCTCCTTTGTAATAAGAGAAGTGGTGTCCACAGACCCAATAGGCAGGCAGCGCAGAGTGGGGAGGGGGAGCAGAGGGCCAAACGGGGCTGGTTGGATGTGGGATCCTGTGTGGGTGGCCTGGTGGAGAGGGGAGGGGTGGTCAGGACAGGGCACGTGATGGGGCTGGACTCACAATGCAGTGCCTTTCTGGCTGCCCCTCCCCCGTGGTCTCATCCATGCTCACATGTCAGAGGATTTTCCAATCACCACCTTGTCCACATCCACACCTGCTCACGTGGGCCTACGGTGGCTCCCCACTGTCTACAGGACGAACTCCAGACCCCTGACCCCGGCATCCAAAGCCTCTGACCTTTCACCTCCGAATCCCTGTCCAGCTCTTCTGCTCTGATCCAGCACAAGTTTGCTCTTGCTGCAAAACTGGTTTTCTTGTGTTTTCTCAGATCAGAACCTATGTCTTTCTTTTCCCCAGTGGCCTTTGCCCATCACATATCTCCTTCACCCTCTCCCAGACTATCTTATCCTCTTTCCCTTTATTTAAGACTTCCCTGCTTTTCAAGATCCAGCTGAAGCCTCTCCTCCTTGGGGTGGGGGTGGGGATTTCTACTCCTTGGTACAGCTTCTTCTGTACATGCCCCACCCACAGCCACTCTCTAAGTCTTGGCATCAACCTCATGGTGGGGACAGGAGTTGTCACATACATGAAACATACATGCAGCTAAGTTGGCATCTCTTTGAGTTTCCCCACCACATCCAGATAGATGCCTTTTTAAGATGGGAGGGCGCACTTGTGGGAGCGGGGCTTCCGACCACTAAAGGATGCATCATTGCATCTGCATACTGCCCCCAGATTCATCCCGTTGACCAGGTGTGTGCTCTATGCCCACTGTCCCATCAGGCCATGAAGACTCTCCCCTGTCTTTGATCCTGGGTTGTCCTTGGGCGTGGGACCTCTGTATCCAGATTGGCCCATCCCCACACCCCCTTCTCCTTATGGAACATAGTTTGGAGCTCCTATCCCGGCTTCCATCTCCTTTCAGGGTGAACTAATCCCTGACACCCAGGGATGACGTTTCAGGATGACATCACTTTGCTGTACAGCCGAGATCGGCCACCATAAAGGGAGGGACTCGCTTACTTCTCCTGATGTACTTTGTGCCTTTTCCTGGGACCTATACCCAAAGGGCACTCAGGAAAGCCCAGCAGTGGTGGCAGCAGTGGCGGATGTCTCCAGGGAGCCCCTAACAGGAGGCTGTTCTCATCTTAACCTTCTAACCACAACTGACACCAGATTGGAGGAAATTGCAGAGGGAATGGCTGACCACTGCTCTGCGTGTTGACCCTCCCTTGTAAGCATCTCCCCTCACTGTTCACAAAACCCAAGATCAACTTTATTAGCATCTTCACACCCTGACTACCTGGTCCCCACTGCACCCCCGAGATGCAGGCTGGGGCTGGCTCTCCTGATTTTCAGGCAGGGGGCAAGACACCCGCTGGCCTCCCACCACAGTCACCCTGCAGCTGGGTTGACAACTTTTCCCAGGAAGAGGAGGCTCTGGGTGGTCACCTCCCAAAGGAGGAGCAGGAAAGGCCGGTTGAAATGGGCATGTGGGGTGGATGTCGCGGTCAGAGACTGGGCCTGCGAGAGGAGGCTGGAGGCGGCCCCGGCCTCGGTTCCCCGCTCAGTCATGTCCACTGTCGCTTTGTGTGACACCTACAAGGAAAGAAGAGGGGCAGAGACAGGGTCGGTCCAGGGCGCTTTGAGGGAGCAGATTCCACATGGTCTGGCACTAGGGAGGTGGGGGCGGAGTCACCCCGCTCAGGCCCCGCCTCCCGAGGAAGCAACTCCAGCCTTTGTTTCATTTCCCTCCTCTCCCCATTTTCTCTGCCTCCATCATTTCCTGAAGGGGGCAATCACGCTATGCTGATTGCTCTTTGATGGGAAGACAGATGGACCTGAGCAAGGCTGAGGGAGGTCTGAGTATGTACCAGGCTACAGAAACCCTACAGTGATATTTAGGGACATTTCCCAAGCACATGGCACAGACCCGAGTGTCACTTTCTGCCTTGAGCTGCACTTGCCCCCTCTAAGCCTCAGTTTTCTCATCTTTACAATAGCTTGCTCAGCCTAAATCAACTGTTTTCCAAACGAGCTCAGTGGAACGGGGTTGTCTGAGGTGCCAATCCCTCCACAGGCCTCTGTGAAAAGGACTCTTTTTTTAAAACTTCATTGTCATGCAACTTCTTAGGAAGAAAGACTTCTGAGGCTTTAACAAAGAAAAAGTTGAAAAACATTCATTTCTAAAAAGGTCTATGAAGAGCTAAATCTAACATCTAAGGTCACCGTGATTGAAATTCTTTAAAAGGCTAAATTATTTCTTTTCCCTCTTGTTTTCTCTCTCCATGGCGGGTGAGTATGTGCGCGCACACACACACACAGACACACACACAGGACCACGTCCCTGTTCCTTAATTTCACATTCCAAATCTCAGCTAGTCTTTCGCAAATAAAGGACAGAATACTTTCCTTATGAAATTCCCAGCAAAGACTTAAATGTTAACTAAATGTTTCCTCTTAAACAGAAAGAAAACTGAAGACCAGAGAAGGGCTTTTTTTGGCCTCCCTAGTGTGGAAAATTGCATTATTCTTTTCAAGTGTGAGCTCCCCTTTCCTGTAGGGAGTTATCCGCCATCACCAGTGCCCTGTGACTTGCAGTGCCTCCTGCAAGAGAAGAACACAAGCCCATCCCCTTGACGGTGACCTTGACTGTGGGACTTCCTTTAGCCAATGATATGTGTGTGACCTTGACAGAGATCAGGTGTGAAAAGTGTTAGGTGCCAATGCACATTTTCTCTTGTTTTGTCCCCACTGCTGGAAGAATGGTATGTCCCAAATGGGGGCTTCTCCTTAAACCTACATTCTGGAAGGAAGAAGATCTGAAGCAGATCTGTAACCAGGTGGCAGGGACATACCTCTGACACGTCACATGGACAGGAAATCAACCAGTTAGGATGAGGCACTGAGATTTGGGGTTGTTTGTTACTGCGGCAAAGCTGATAAATACACTCAAGAGCTGTAATAAAGGCTGATAGAGCTCCACTGCCTGCCCTTGGAGGACATTTAAGGGATTAAAACACCTGGGGAACTTCTGCTTCCGTGGTTGACCTTGAATGTGCATCTACTCTATTCAAGACTCTGTTCCTGCTTTGAAGAATATAGAAGTCTAGAAGAAGGGGGAGTGGAAAGGGAGCTGCCTGTGAAAAGAAACCTTAAAGGTGTGATATTAAAGAACCAGAATAGAAGAAAGGGGGAACCTGACTTTAATATGCACCTAATATCAAAGGAGAAGACATAACCTCCCCCGCAGACAGACACATCCACGTTCACCGCCTTACCCTAGACATGGTTCTGTTGAGCTGCCCAGTGATTCCTGACAAGTCAGCTTCGAAGTTGAATAAGTCAGTGAGACCAACATGGGAAAGGACCTCTTCTAGGTTGTATGTTCCCGAAATTGAAAACCTTGGCAAATGCAAATCCAACAGGCTGGGGAGAGAATCAGACAGAGAAGGGCTGCTGTCTCGTCATCTTGTCCTGTCTGTTGGCAGCCTGAGCTCTGGGAGGGAGACGTGTTTCCCAGAGGGAGGGGGGACCTGTCTTCTCGTGGCTCTACCTGCGGTGCCAGAACATTCCACCACCCAGAGCCTCCTTCTCTTCCCACCTCAAGAGTGTCTATGTCTGGATCTGAGAAGACTTCCAGCACAGCTAGAGGTCTTTGAGTTTGTCACATTTCTGGAGGGCTTTCTGGGTGCCAGACATTGGACGAGGTTTACAAGGCTTAACCAACTGATGCCACAAAATAACCGTGTAAAGTGAATACTGTTAACATTTCCCCAACTCCACATCCATTTCACCAGCACGTCCTGTGGGCTCAGTTTCTGAACTAGATCCTGAATCCATCTATTGGCAAACCCCTTACATAAGCTACACCATTGCTCACCTGTCTGTTTCAGGGGCTTTTGAAGATCTGATGAAAGATCATGTACGTAAAGTGTGGGCGCAAATCAACAATAACTCTCTCTCCTGTTACCGGCATGCTTTTGCCACCAGAGCACCATATTCCTTGTGTTAGGTTCACAGGCTTCTTTTGACCCAGGGAAAATCTGTCCCTTTCTCCCAGGGTTAATTCTTCTCCGGAAGTATTGTTTGACAGTTGCCAGGACACCTGCAAACTTGGTTAGTTAATAACAGCTGGGACTTCTGCTTCTAATGAATGCAGATTAGAGACTCTAATGCAGGTTGGAGTACCAACCTGTTCAACTCTTGGACAAAAATAAGGATCCAGGAGTCTAACTGAAGTGGGAGGCAGTTGCAAGTCAGGGGTTGAACTTGGAAAGGAGGAAATGGATCTGGAAACAGAAAACAAAGCCATCTCATCTCGGCCTACATGATAAAATTTGCACAGGCAGCACTTGGAGGGCAGGCCCCCGCCATGGGGAGGGGTTTGAGTCTAGCAGAAGGGCGTCTGGTAGAGAGCCCAGCACACAGTAGGTGTCCCGCAAGTGTAAACGAAGAAATGAACAGTTACTAGGAAGTGTGGGCCCCCTGGGCAAGCTAACCTTCCTCACAGATGAATGGAGGGAAACCTCGAAGCCTGAATTTTCCAGGTCTGAAAGCCCATTAGAATACTGCCATGATATGTAACCTCTGGCGCGAGAAATAGTATCAGGGAGCATCTGAGATTTGGAAAAATGACTTGGGTTGGTTTTGATTTTTGAAGGTCAAAGTGGGAAGTCAAAACATGCCCTTCCTAAGGGAAAACCTACTGGTCTAGAAGATTCTTCCTCCTGTGAAGGGGCAGGGGCGGTTTCACCCCAAGGGAGCTTGAGAATACTGGGCTGGAACCAGAAACTGACCAGAGCTATGCAGATTCGGAGACGTCAGGATTATACTTTAAATCCTGGAGTCTGTTCTTGTCCTGTATCTCTTTCATTTGGTACTTGAATCTCTAGCCAAACACAAACCACCCTTTCCCTGTTTTTGGTACTTTAATGTCATTGGGGTGCTGAGAGAAGGCTCCTGTGGGCATGGAGGTAACTGATGCCAGGTGGTGATGGTGGATGAAAGCTGGCCATCAAGAGGTTTGATCTGTAACACCTCCCCTCCAATCTGGGTGGGCTCTGTGAGTGCTCTGACCAATAGAATCTGGCAGAAGTGACACTGTGCTGATTTCTGAGCCCTTCACTTCCTGTCTTTTGGAATTCTCCTTCCTGGAGGACTGATCTGTCATGTAACAATATCAACTGTACTGAGCTGCTGGGCAGAATCCCAAGCTAGTCCCGTGGAGATGCTTCACAGAGAGAGAGAGAGAGAGATGCCTGCTCAGCCCTTAGCTCAGCCTGCCAGGCTCCAGACATCTGAGTGGAGGAGCCATCAGTGCTCCAGCCCCAGCCACCATCTAACTCTAATATTTGAGAACCCCAAAGGAGAACCGCCCAGCTGAGCTCCGTCCAACCACAGAACTGATATAGCTAATATATGGGTTTTTTTCCAAGCCATTCCATTTTGAAGTGGTCTGTTATCCAGCAAGAGGTAATTAGAACTCAAGGCCAGATTTCTCCTCGGAGGGCCCCATAACGGAAGGTAGATTCCAAGGATGGGTTAGCTGGAGTATGGGGTCTAGGGAAACCAGAAAAAGCTAAAGCCACTGTGAGAAAACCATAAACCAAAAAGCAAGTGAGGCAGAAAAGGATAGGTAAATAGCCCCCCAAACTGGCAATTCACACATTGATCTTTTACAATACTCCTCTTGGTATTTAATTTCTTGAAGAAATATTTTCATGAAAAAAGAGGCCCTCTTAAGAAATGTCCACTGTTCTGTGGGAGTCAGAATTATTCTTAATAATTCTCCTTGATCTACTTTGTTGCCTACCCTTAACTACACTTAATTCTGGTTGTAAGTTATTATTTGGAGAAAAAGGGAGGAGAAGGGAGTTTGGGTAGAAAGAAGCCCGGGAGGGAATAAGAATGATCATCGGCCATGAGCTCATCTCAAGGACCAGGTAACACTCTCATATTCTACACGCTTTAACTTGATTAGTTCTTTGAGCGACCTGATGTGGCGGTTATTACGGCCCCATCTCACACTGAGGAATTCCGAGGCCCAAAGGGTAAGGATGGCCCAAGGTCACACTGCTGGCTGCACAGCAGGGAAGCGAACCAAGCCAGGGTTTGGGGTTTTTGCAACTGGAGCTGATTAAGGCCGGCTAGGGTTTTCAAACAAAGCCTGCAGGAGTCTTCCCAATCCGGCGCTTACCTGGGCAGGAGCAATTGGTCCCATTTCCGCAGGGTCTCTGGCTGCAGAGCTGCCTCCACCTGGGCCATTTTCCCCGGGTCAGGGAGGATCAGCAGGACCATGGCGTTTCCACTGTACTCTATCTGGAGGACGGTGCAAGCCACCTCCTGGTCATAGAGGAACCTGTGCATTTCCTTTTGGTGCATCATGGGGATGCGGAGAGAGGTCCTGTCATCCACAAAGAAGCTCTCTTGCTTCTGGGTCTGGTAGCGATTGAAAGGATGCTTCCACTTGGCTTAGGGCACAAAACCCACAAAACCATTAGAACACGTTCTAAGAGAGCCAAGTCTGGGCAGTCTTACACTGTCCCACTGGTTGGAAGTGCAGAATCTCAGAATCCTCTCTCTTCCTACTTACAGTCTCCACCCACAACCCCCTCCTGACTTGCCCTCCTGAAAGTACTGGTCTTGGTGACACGGGGGAGGGGACCGGCTCATCCTGTCCCTCAGGCCCACACCTAATCAGTGGCCAAGCATTGCTAATTCTGCCTCCAAAGCCACAGCTTTATTCAGGTCACTACCTGTCTCTGTTCTTCCACCCTTATTCTCCTCCAAAACATTTTCCAAACTGT